TCATTTTCCTTCTTGCTGTTTTTCCATCCTCGGCGATGTTTGCGCCGTTTTTCTACCACGCCACTCGCTCTCTTTCTCTTTTCCTAACACAGGAATGACGCTGTTTACACGGGCCGAGCCTCTTGCGGATACATCGATCTACCTTATCCGCGACAGATCAGCTGGAAAATTGAGGCTCCGATGACTTTATTTCCACCCTGATATCGAGGCTACCGAGCTTTCGACGTGCAGCCAGGAAACGGAAAAAGGCTAACGAAAAGCAGCTAATACAAGAGCAGATGGCTGGTCGATTTTAATTATCATTATTCGATAAGAAGTATCGATACGCCAGAGTTACAAGAAAGTTTCCATTACCGTTAAACGTATATTAATTGGGAAAGTTATTCGTCCTTTGGGTGGACAATTTATGTACTCCTGTATTCAAAGTATATCCAAAGTTTCAGCAGATTTTAATACGGATAATAATTAATTAAATTATCAGCTAGAATTATTTACAACCCGAAGATGTAAGAATTAAGATCATATACATACATTTGACAATCCTTATTTTTAATATCTCTTCACATATTTAATGAAACAACAAATGGATAGAGAAGAGAATAGATAAATGGTTATACATAAAGGGTTTGCACAGAACATTAGCCTTAAATCCGTAATCAACAATTTCATTAATACCTCGGAAAGCTGTGAACAAAAAATCGCGGTGGATGAGGAACACGTTAGCGTAACAGCGGTAGATTATCCAAAAATAATTAGTTAATTAATTGGTATTTAGCATGCTTGTAAGGAGCTCAAACCAAACTCTTCTTTCGTTTCGCGCGTACTTGTTTAATCACAGGATTAAAAGATAAACCAAGTAAAAGGAATATTTAGAAGGGACAGTAAAACGTATTGTCCAATTTTCGTTAGTCCGCCAGGTGAAATAAGTAGGTCGATCACGCCTCCGAGGACAATGCCATTAAGGTATATTTATACCCCTACGAGACGGTAGGAAATATACTACCCTTCAAGGAATAATGGTTCACGAACCGTCTGCGACGAGGAGTGTAATTTTCCAATAGGCATTCTTGCCACTAGGAAGTCAGGGACGCGCTCTAAAAGTCCTTTTAGTGGTCGTATATCAATCCGCGCGAGATGTCGCGACGTCATGAAATTGTGATCTTCCAATGGATGTAAAATTCTTTCTTTTTTTTTTCGTCCCCGCGGTAAGTGTCCTTTCGTGGCAAATTCTTTCTCGATCAACTTCCACCGTGGAGCAAACCCTTTGTCTTCTTTTATTTCCTACCTTCGAATAAATTTACCACCAAGCTGTTACCACGACCATTATGTCGTGAAATCTTTCTTCGGTGAAAACATTAATCTTCGAAAGTCGATGATCGTCGTTTTTGTTCCACCAATACCTCGAAGAAAAAGACGTTCGTCTCATGGTAGAACAGGGCGCGATGTGATACATTTTAAGAAGACACGATGGCTAGGATTTGTATCCTATCACCAAAATACCAGAGACACGGTACATGTCTACCGGAGAACTGAAAAGAGGCGGTCCTTTTTCACTCCTGAACAGCATGGTAAAAAGGAAAGGAATATTTATCTTACAGTGGCTTGATAAAAACACAGATCTTTCCACTGATACAGAGAGAGAAGCGAATGCGTTCGATGCCTGTGTGCATGAGCTACTAGTAGGAACATTCACGACCTACAAACGTATATTTACCGCGACGTCTGCTACTCGAACAGCCTCACCCTCCTATATAAACCGGATTCCATGACCCCTTTCTTGTACTCCTCGCTCGGTGCTACATAGAAAAAGATCCTTCTTCCGGATGCTTTCGAAATGCTTATTTTACGGCGCGGCGTCATAAAGACGCGATCTTCCAATGAGCATAAAACTCTCGACTTCGATTCGCCGTAACCCACGGATGTCTCAATAAATAAAGATGGGGTGGAAACTAGAGGCTTGCTTTTCCATTGTATCGTTCCTTTCCGCCTTTCCTATCTTCGTTCTGTTGCGCACCCGACTTCCGACTTTGGAAGTATAATATGAGAATTCAACCACCTATCAAAACAGGAGAGCGTCTCTATCATAGGTCGTTTTACGGAAATGTCGTTTTACGAACGAGGACTACTTTGTCATGTGAATGACATTATTATTTTTTTTATTTACTTATATCGATTTGGTGGGACGTGCGGTTTCTCTGAGAAAACGATTTCATTAGATTGTACAGGGAACACCTTGGCGAATGGCCAACGTATAATAGTTCTCGATAAATACTTGTCGCATCAAGAAACGGAAATGACTGACAATAAAAAAGGAAGACGGCGGGAGGTACGAAAATGGAATAAATGTGTCTGTCGCACTCGCTAGAAAGCTCTTTATCTCGTATATTTTTATTCAAAAAGGAAATTCCGTCAACTGAACCCTACTAGATATGTATCGAGACCGTCTCACGCCGCCAGAGATCCCTTGAAAATCTTTCGTAGAGAACTCGTCATTGGCTAAAGATTACACATTCAGCCGGATGTTCTTGGCTCTAGTAACAGGTTGATCTTCGTAATATCTCTAATCGGATTACTCAGATTTAAGTGACAGTGATGTCACGGATAAATTAAAAAATTCACCGTCCCAGTTCAATACGTTGGCTTTACGCATGACTATTTCTGCTTGCTGGGCAACCACCTGAATATTCCATGCGATATATCATGAAAATCGTTGAAAATTTCCAATCGTTTATGAGTAATAAATAATTTGATCGCCATATGCGAGTTTAATTACGTTTATTTGGATTATTTGGGAAATATATGCGGTTCATGTTCAAAATTTAGATTATACCTGGTAGGTATTACATTGAAATAGAGTTGGGATTTGAAGATTAATGTTTGAACGGTCATTTTTATAGAAACGTGTTATTCAGAATATTATCAACATTTCTGTTTATTTGAAATCCAAATATTTAAGCAAGTTTTAGTGTTACGATATCTCGTTAATACATTTCTGATTAATCAATATTTCAAATAAACAGTTTAATATGTACATTTTGCTATATGAATACTAAATTCTGTTATACAAATGTGATGTAAGCACGGTGTAAATTAGTTATCGTAGTCTGTAAAATAACAGAGTCGAGGAGACAGTACAAGAGCACATAATAAAAGAATTATCACATAACTGGTAAAGACGTAAATTAAATGAATCTGGAAATTGAGATCAGAGAATATATTATGAATTCGAAAATTCACAACTGCATCATGACAGTGGTGTGAGCTAGGTAACTCATATCGTACGTTTAAATTAAATATAAAACTATTCAAAAGAGAATATGATAATGCTATATCATGAATTTTTATTTGCTACTTCCCTCAGGTATTGACCTAACTAAAATTTAACTAAAAAAACAGGGCACGTTTAAAACTTAAGTTTTCAACTTTACTTAAATTTCTACTTTCTATAATTTTCAATGTTAAGTTTGCATTTCAATTAAATTAAATTCGATTAATTATTTAAAGCCGGAAAATTCAAAATGCAGCAAACGATAGTTATACTATCGGTAGAAAATTGTTCGCTTTTATCATACCACTGAACGCGAAAATATAACTTAGATAAAAAGCAAGAAATCTCCACAACAAGGATTGATAAAAAATTATGATGTAAGGGAAATCAACGTTGCATCGTTTCGTGCATTAAACTTTTCACTAGAGTTCCGTGGCACGAATCTGTGCTGTAAATTTCTTTGAAATATCGTTTGGTAAAGTGACAGAAGAATCACTGTGAAATATAACGCATCATTGTCATCGCGTGATCGCGGAGATCGACGGAACTACGGCGACCCGAGAGCGTACATAAATTACAAATTATGCGGAAGAGATAAAGATGACTGAGTATAGTACTACGTATGACCATATAGATTATTATACATAGATGTAGTACATAGCACATCGCGCGTGTACACATATTATATGAATATGTATGCTAGGATGCAACGTACCAACAGCGGCGGAGTCACATTTTGCCGTGATTTAACTCATCTGTCTTCATTATTCGCATTTTTTTTTTAACTACCCTCGTCAAACGGCTGGGTTTCCGCTAAATGAGCAAAAGTCAAGGTCCTCTGGCCGTTTAACACGATACTTTTTAGCAGTACGCGGAAAGTCCACGCGGATATTAACTCTTTCCCTGCCTATTATCTCCTTTATGCAAAGTAAATTCAATTGGTTATGATAATTCCGACCGAGGAATTTGTTTAATTTAACCACGGGATGTATTTCTAAGTATATCAAGACGATATAGGACACCACGTAATATGTAAAAGGAGAGCTAGCTAATTATCGCGGTACGTAAATCTTGAGATGCGATCTGCAAATCATTTGAAGCTAATTAAGAGCTATGTATATGGAAGGAAGTGTTTAAGGACCGAAATGCCTCGGGCTACGAGAAAGTTAATAACGCCAAACGAGCAAACCGGAGAGCGAACGCTTTTGTTAAACTTTACACTCCTTAAGAAAAACTCTATTAAAACGTTAAATTTGATGCGAATAGGCGAGTGCTGCAAGATTAATTAAAGAAGCAAGACAGTCAAGCAATGCTTAGAGAATTTATTATTAGATAGAATATTGACTTACCTTTGTGAAAAATTCCCCGAATTTATTAAACGAAAATTACATTGAGGGGAACAAATGGAAGGGAAAGCAGTTGGTTAAAAAAAGAATTTATAAGGAAACGTATACGATTAGATCGAAAGTCTGGGCCATTTTAAAAGTACTATATTTATTATCTGTCTGACGTATCATTTGAACAGACATTTCGTGTGTCATTTATATACAAATGTGTACACTCTGTACATTCTGTCCTAAATGATAACGGGCAATACGTAATCTGTACAGAAGCGAGAATTGTTTGATTACTAATAATAAGTTAGGTTAGGTTCCTGACAGCTTTACAACGTATCTGCTTACAATGCTTACGGTTAACACGCATGTTGTTCACACTTTTCCTTCCATTTTTAGTTTCACTACTACTCTTTCTTTTCCCTCGCACGATCGTTTAACATTTAATTGACTAATTTAATCATTTACCTGGTTGCTAGATGATTGACGCACGCTGGTCTTGAAATTTCAATTGTTCACGAAATCTTGTATGTATTCCTGTCTCATTCAAACGATCGAACGAATAGCATACAACGAAAAGAAACGAATCAATTGCCAATAAAATACGTGCGTACACGATCGCATTTTCTGAAAATGTCAAATATGTTATCGTACAAAGCAAAATTCCCCATAACGCGATTCTAGGGAAGTTTACAGAAACTTTACAGAAAATTGGCAAACAAACGTTCTCACTCACTCATCGAGACGAATTTATATATATGTACGTTACAAACGTGACGATCGATCATTCTGATCGATAACTATCGACGATTCGAATCGGATATATTCGAAATGGAACACGTTATCGACTCATAAATGCATTCTTTCGATTCTTTTTTTCCGATCGAGTGCGGGTATAACATGCTCGATGCTCGATTATTAGTGGAAACACCGTGGAAAAATAGTTTGCCTATCGTAGTATCATAACCGTACGCTTAGATATTCGAATCGCGAAATCTATACCGCGTGTAAAAAAGGGTTAGGCTACGTTCGACTTGAATATCGTCGTTCATTAGGCGCGAGTGACATATTTTAATTACAAATCTACTTACTCGTTGGCCGAGGTAACTTCCCGTAATCATCTCGTAATATGTTGCGTCTCCCTTTAACGGGTTTTCTAACCACTTCACTTTGATTTTTATTGAACTGTGTAAACACTATGTGATCACTTTGAAGTTGTTCGATTAAAACTATAGTAATATGCATGCCAGTATCGTAGATGTTATATCGCCATTACGAAATGTGTCTCGGTCTCGATATGTTTGCATTCTGTGTGGCACGATTTTCTTCGCGAAAAAAACATCGTACTTACTCGACAAATACGAGTTTCGAATCACAAATTATATGTAGTCCGCAACGTGTCCTTCGCTTGCTGCTTCCAATGGTGCAATGCAATGAAGGAGAATGCAGTGGAAAGGATCGGAAGTATAGTAAGTTTTTTGCCTCAATTAACATTAATATACCACAAATATACGATATGACGAGAGACGTATGCCCTCGAAAAACATAATGAATACATTTCGCTAATGTGTTTTGGTTTCAACGCGATATAGTATTATTTACGACGAAAGGAACGTATGAATATAGCAACAGTGAAGATCGTGTAACGTTAACGAGAATTTGCGATCAACACAACGCGATCACTAAACAGCGTTCTTTTATCGAACATCGATTGATTGATCCGATTTAAGCGATAACAGAAAACAATTTTAAACTCGTATCGTATTATTAACAATAATAGAGCGTGGACCGTTTTCTCGCTTACAAAAATCTTTGGTCCGTGATCCAATCGATACAATATACGGAAGATAACTCCTCCCGAATTAAAAGTAAACCCTAGAATGGTATTGTAGCTCCGATCTCCAGATCCATCGACCTTTCGGTCATATCGATCGATCTGACGACACAACGGAGAGCGCTAAGAGACGATCGCGAGCCATCCAATGAACTCTGGGTGCCCACGGTCCTCCTCGATGGTCGAACGAACCTTCTGCTAGTTCTGTTAGGCCAGGTTCGATAGAAGGGCTCCTGACTGTAGTGTTTCAAGGCACTCCAGATGACCGAGGATCTTCGTGGCGGTAAATGGGAATGCGATGGGCAACCGCAGTGTTGCCACGCTAGGGTCGGTGTTTTGCAACGGAAAATGGGAGCTCTGAAGGCCTCAGGGGGTCTCAGGATCGGGAGATCGTTCAGTTTTAAAGCCAGCCTGGCTGACGATACTTTCGAAACCGGAACACCATCCATTGACTGCATCTCGTCGCGTCCAGTCGACTGTAGGATCGCAACATCACCGCGCAATGTCCTCGTATTTGTCTCTATAGACTCCGAAACGGAGGTATCGTTTAGATCTATTCCGCCGATTTCACCGATATTGCCCAGACGAGTCTCTGGTTCTTTTATTTTGCCGATTTCCACCGATCTCGGAAACGGAACGTCGTTTTGCTTTCCCGTACTAAGAGATCTCGGTGTTTCGGCAGTTCGTAGGACATCCTGCGTAGTCTTGTCCAGGGATAAATTAGAGTCGTCCGAAATTGCACGGTCTAATTGACCAGGCCGATCGATCGCGCCGGTATACGTGGATCAGGAGGACGAATTCGCCTCTATCGTTGAACTTGTCGAAGCATCGTCGTCCAAGGAGCTCTGCGTAGCTACAGTGACTTTGTTACCATCGTTCCGACTAGGCAACTGAAGATCAGCGACTGTTTGACGGGGATGGCGTCTCTTGTACGGCTCCCAATCCCCAGGACCCCGGCGTCAGTGCGTTGCGATCACGTCCGGTGCGCTCTTTGTGCTTTCTATACTGAAAGGTCGCCTCTGATCTACTTCTATCACCGCCTCTGCTCTGTACCTAGCGTCAGATGTCGTTTGTTGCGAACACTTGGGCGTGCCGGAGTGTTGGGTGCTCGATGTATTACTAGATCCGTGTCCAGATCCATAGACAGAACTGCCGTATCTCTCTCCGGAACCAGTCGTTCCTTGCCTCAATAATTTCGGCGATTGGCGATAGACACTGTTTTCTCTGCTTGGCTTCGGGCTTTGAAACCTTTGATACGACGGGTAATCCGGATGTTCCGGGTAAGAAGAGCCTTGGTGCAGAGGTAACGGATAACTAGATTCGTGAGTTGACCAGCCGGGAGGAGCTGGGATTGGGTTGTGTTTTGGACAAATACCCATACTGCCGTCCCGACCTCTTGATGCTGGACTACAACCAGAGCATTGAGAGCCTGGCTGTTGAGAACTGTGCTCGGAAGACTGTTGCATACTGTGCTGAGAAGACTGACCACTTTGGCGCGACTGTGTCGGACTTTGATGATGGTGGAGGTGATGATGACGGTGATGATGAAGATGATTGGTCCCGTTTTGAGAGCCCGGTCCACGAACACCGAATGTCGTGAAACCCACGGGTATTATACTGTCCGAGATTCGAGGCTCGAAAAGGCTTTCTCGTGTTTGACAAGAATTGTCGCGCATTTCTGGTTCCTCGTTGTTTTCCTGTAGACGTTCCTGTGTTGCATTACTAACATTGTTACTTTGATGGATGTCATTCATGTCCCTCGTATTGTAAGCCATCTCCAATACGAGATCTTTCGTATAGTCCTGTGGTATTAGCGTAGTGGGCTGTAAAAGTTCTTTGCTAGGAATCACTTCCAGGCTCGGCGAGTCGCTTCCTCGGTCCCTGATGTCTGTTCTGGAAGACGAGATTGGACAGGGTGTTGTCTTTCGTCCGAGTTCGTCTAATCGATTTTCTCTGGATTGTCTAATGTGTTCCTGGACAAGACAAACGAATTCTTCCAATTAGTCGGTTAAATATCGCAGCGTAAGTTTCTAGTGACCACTCCTTGTTAATGGTATTTGTACTATTGAAATAGAGCAATCTTATTTAAATATTTTTGTCTTAGTTGCAAAATAACCATTATTTATTCGATCAATAACAGGGGATTAACATATGTATATTATGATACGCTATATTTCAATTGACAATACGAAACATTATCCATTTGATACCTTTCAATATCACATTCTCACACAATGTTGTTAATATTATTCTAGGTTTCAATTTCAAGAAGCTTTGTAAATGACACATCAGTTGTTAGCTTTGAATGAATATTATAGCGTGATACCGTATGCCACTTTTGATTCGCGGGATTAATATTACAAGAGATGGCCATTGATTTTAATTATTCAATGGTTTTTCATCCATTTTTTTTTGTTTTTTTTTTAATAAAATGAAGAGTCACTGTCTCGGTAACTCATATGTTGGATTAATATTACAAATAACGTACTTTCCATGATAGTGAAACGACCGATCAATAGTATCGGTTTACCACGAATATAAGCAATGCAGGTATCTTCCGTATAACACGGTACTCTTACAACGCAGATTCGATCTAACGTAGTTCGAGAATTGGCGAATCCTCCGTACAATACCGTATTCGAACAACATCGTTTCGCTCTATCACGGTTCGAGAATTGGGGAAATCTCAAACTGAAACTTAAAATATTAAAAAGTTGGAATATTTGTAAATTTGAACGTTTAAAAATTTGAATATCTGGTGATTTTAATATTAAAAATTTTTAATATATGAAAATTGTAATATTTGAAAATTTGGATGTATGTATTTAGTTTACTCGGTGAAATAAATGAAAAGATCGGCTGCAAAATATTCGATAATTATAATTATGCAGAGTTGTATCACTAATGACTATAGTTTTACGGAACCTTGACAATTATCCATAAACAATTACCGTATTTTCACGTTGATCGTTCGTTCAGAATTAGTTCTCATTTTCTCATTAATGTGTTGTTCCCCTGCATTTATAATTCGGCCTTTCAAACGCCAGTTTTCCATTCTTCGTGAATGGATGAAACGAACCGTGGACTCATTTCGTATTGTGCCGCATCAATCTTTTCCGAGTTGCGTGAATGTTAGACACGTGTGATCGTACGTGACAAGTTCAGGTCGTGAACCGAATCGAAATCCTGCTGTGTTCGAAATGTAATTGAAATTCTAGGAACGTGTAACAAGGCGAATCGTGTATAATGCACAAAGAACCTCCAGTCTTTCGTGATTTGTCGATACGTACATCTTGTATTGTCCACGATATTGTATGCGGCCTTTAAAATATAATGCATCTTCGAAGATTGGCAAACGTGTCACGTGCTTTGGATAAAAATAACAATTTTAAGTATAATCGGTTGTCGAAGCTAACGCTGAGAGGATTTTGACATAGAACACGAACAGCCTGAATATGTATCATGATCGTGATCGAAATATAAATAGCAAGAAATTCAAACGTACAAGCGTTAAGATCGTGCTGGAAGAATTCCATGCCAAACTGCTTTATATCAGTGAAGATATTTATATCCTTAATTATTTTCTAACAGATTGGCATGGTTACAGAGATGTACGATAAAAAGAATGTCACTTACCCGAATGATTCGATGATCCCGGACCAGTTTCCTCACGCAGTTGAAAACGAAGGCGAAACTCATGCCAAACATAATCAGCGAGAAAACGATGAGGATTATAACGATGTGCTGGGAGTCGATCAATCGAGATTTCTTCTTCTGTAAAGCAAAAATAAGGTAGGGAAGTTCTTGATAGATCGTAAACAATTTGGAACCCACGACGCTTCAAGTAATGCGAATTAGTTTACATTGAATAATTTGAAACTTACTTACATTAGGAAGTTATGGTTGACATTAATGGTTATGATTTCCAACAAAAATATTGAATTTCACCAGAAGCATATCATGAACTATATTCTTCATATGATATAATAATAATTGATTTCGAGAAGATTTCATAAAAAATATTGTTAACAAGAAACTAAGTATCGTATCTGATTAATTATCTGTTCGAGTATACAGATATTTCATAGATCATGCATGCGCATTTTGTCGGTTGATTACTAAATACATACACATTGAGAATAGTTACCGTAATGCAATGCGGGATATTACTTGTAACATGATAAACCGAGTTTTGTCCTTTTCTTACCGTTTCTATATCTTGTTTCTCGCGTTTGCCATCAGTAAAGTCACGCTATTAGGTAGTCAAAATGTCGAATGACGTGACACGTCTTCTCGTACGTGTACAAATGAAAATTCGAGAATAATATTCTTTCATCGCGGGCTCGTGAAAATAAAGGTCCTATATCGCTGTACAGCGCCAAACACTACGATTTTCATTTTCTTCTCGTTTTCGCCTTATCTCTATCGCTGTATCTGTGTGTCATGCGAAGTTATAAATGGTGGGAATTTAGCCGATACGGCGAACATATTTCGCCAGAGGCTTAATTTTGAAATCCTCTCGTTTGGCCAAGGACTTCTACGAACGCGTATAAAAATGACCACTACGGTTTTACGATTACTAGGGTAGAATCGGTGTTCAAGTGGTATAATAGAGGATGAAATGTGCCTGATACGTATAAAAATAGCTTAGATTAGAATTAACGCAGTTCTGTTATTTTCGAGTTGAAAGGATGGTGTGATGATCTTGTTTTCGTTGGTAATGCGTCCTGATTTTTTTCACGTCCAAGTGGATCGCTAAAGCGCGAGCATACGTGGCCGAGATAAGAATAATAAGAACAACGCTCATAATGATCACATTTTGTGAAAAGCCGGCGCCATTAACAAAATAGACGGAGTTATCGTGCTCCTGTTTTTCACGGAGATGCCTGTGAAGCATTTCTGAATGTCTACCGAATGAGATTTCTGAGCATTAGATCCTCTAACATTCCTCGGAGAAAGCTGGAACCAATGTTAGTGCAACCAAGTGGAGGGGGAGAGAAGAAGAGATGGCCAAGGGAGAACGAGAAATTCTAGTTGAGGGGTTGAAAATGCCTCTTTCTGCTTCCGTAAGCCCGAGAGGTTTATTGTTATGCTTATATGGCCGAGTACACTCCAACGGACGGTTTACGTGTTTGCAAAAGTCTGTGCAAAAATACATTTCGAACGGCTACTGCATTCGCGACGAGAGATACTTTTGATGCTTTCCTCCTCTATCGAACAGGGATTTATCCCGGCCTGCAAGCGAAACTCCAATATTTTCGATCGTATTGATATTTATTCGGCTTTACGATACTGGACGTCATATCGAGTATAATGAAGACTTTTTTGTAGGCAACGTTTTTTGCCATTCACACTGTTTTCTTCTTCTACTCTTGTTTTCTTCAATAGTCAAAATAACGATATTAAGATCATTGATTTATTGAAATTTTTATTTTCTCCCCATCGTGATTATTTCGCTTTAACTCAGACTCTTCGCTTGTCTCGAAACTTTTCTTCGCTTTAAGATGGTTTTGCTGTTTACTCGGATCTTTTTCATTTCTAATTATTCAAGCGGTACTCGCTTTACCGAATTTCCAAGTAAACGTCATCTTTCTCTGCGTTCACATGGTGGAAAGTATTTGCCTTCTGCAAAAAAGATGTTGTTTGCAAACTTGATCTTCTATATCATTATCGGATAATCTTATAAAATCTAAAAGTCTTCCGCTGTGACACACGCGAGATTATTTCTATCAATTACGTAATTAATACTCGGCGACGTACAAGCGCATCCTCGTTGACAAAGGATCTTGCCGATCGCAACTTTATCCTACTGAATTTTTCTTGATGACAACTAAGAATCCTCGCGGAGTTATGCACAGGTTCATCTATTCCTTGACCCGGATCACTGTGGAGTCAGATTCACACCTTGCCGCGTTGAAATTAATGATAGTCCGGTGAGGATCCGCTTTTTTCGCTCGAGGAAAGAAATAATTAGTCGCGAGGTAAAAAACACTGAAGAACTTCTCATTAGCGAGGAAGTAACGAATATATGTTAAGGATTCTGTTATGTTCTCGATTACCGTGTTATGTTATCGCAAGGCTAGGGTTGGCATTACGGGAAGGAATAATAATTAAAGAACATTCTTGCGGCGGTAATTATTGTAGAATATCTTGACACCCGGTGTCGCTGTGAAATCGATATCTTTAGAAGAAGAGCGACGATGGATATAAATGAAAGCGCGATCTGGTCGATCGAGGAACAATCAAATACGACTTATTTCATTTGAATCGTACGATTGAATTACGAAGATTGATACTTGAATGGAAGTTAATCGAGATTCCAATATCTATCGTCGAGCTATTCTTCTTAGCTCGGGACGATGATACATAATTTCATTGTTGTTCGAAACTTTTAGGTTTATGTAATCGTATGCATAGTTTAATAACGTTCAAGGAAACATTGCATCGGACGTTTCGACAGTTTCCCTATGGTATCTCTTTTTTTTCATAGAGTCTGCTTCCCATTAGTATTTACCAGCAAGCGCTAAACGAAGTAAGTGGTGTAGGGATGCACTTTCCATTAGAGGGAAATAAAATTGGATAGGATGGTTACCATCGTGTATTCGCCACGATTTCGTTGTGCATTCTATTCGTGCCGTCAATTTCGTGGCTGTTTTCCCATGCGAACGGGTCTACTATCGCGTCGTACAATCTCGCTGTGCTTTATTGCAGTCATGAGACACGACTAGGTATAGTAAAAGGGACAGATAGTAGAAGGCCTCGGGACAGAAATAAGGGAAGTAGCGAACAACAATCTCAGTGGTTCAAACTAGTTCGCAAACGTCGGTAATAATAATTTTATCGATTCTGTACTTGAGTCGGACACTAGACTCTTTAAATAATTTGCCGGTAATTACGGAATTACGGACGTTCCCTTTCGTACCTTCCTAAAGGTCCGAGTTTAATTTTTTACATTTATCGTGCTCCTTCGTGTCATGTCCAAGCGCAATTTCGATATCCTTTTATACGGGTCTGAAAAATATTATAGCTAGCCATCTGTCTCCGAGTTTCTGCTGTTTGAGTAATCCCAGTAAAAAATACCTCGGTCGTTCGTGTAATTCTCTGTATACCGTCAGAAAACATTAAACAAACTGCTCGAAAGAGAAACGGAGTTGGGATCATTTTTTACATTGCTCCGTCACGGTCTGGCTTGCTGTCAGGTGGCCGGAATACGAAGCCGAAGGAACATTGGAAAGGACACAGCCGTAATGTCGATTTCATACGACAGCCCAGATGAATTCATGTAGAACGTACACGCTGGAAACTTGATAGAGTTATCGATACGGTATAGAGAGGTTCTTGCGCGATACGATACACCGCATTCAGTGATCCGAGAATTCAATGTGCTTTCTCCTATTGTGGCAATCTTGCCAGCACGGAATGAGAAATAGTAGAACAAGCGGTGTGGTTATTCGATAGCTGGTTGTTGCCAGTGTTTTGAAAATCGTTAAATGCGTTTGGGCGATGGTGGTAGTGAACGAGTAAGAGAAAAGGTACGTCAAAAACGGCCGTTGCATTAAAAACATTTGCATCGCGGATGCGAGCCACATACCATCTAAAAAATGGGTAGCAGAATGGAGGCAGTATGTTTCACAGGTCTGGGAGAGCGAGAGTTGTTTATATCGTGGCTTTTCGCGCTCGTCAAGTTTCCGGGAAAATAGAAATGGATTCCCGGGACGTTGTTCGTGCGCTACAGTGAAACAGGAGGAAAAGCTTTGTGTGCACCGCGTTCCCAATAAATCGCACGAGTACAAAGGAATCCAAGAACGACCATCTTTCAATGGGATAACCTTTTTAGCGTGGCTCGCCGCCCAGGGACAAGAAGTTCACGACCTTACGGATGAATATTACGGAACAAGTGACCTCAAAAGGAGTCACGTTTTTGCGGTTTAAGTGGGAGCTTCCTTTTTGCCTTACCTGTCGGAGAACCTGTCGGATCGGGACTCTATTTGCGGCTACTCCTTTTAATCTTAACTTTTCACTTGGAGGAAAAGAAGGGTTTCGTTTAAGGGGATAGTCCAACTACTCTGTTTTTCCGATTTGATCTTAACGAGCTACTCGATCGACGATTGTGTTTCTTCTACTATCCTAAGAAGACATAAAATCCGAGGTTTATTGGATGAACGTTGTTCGTTGGAAGCGATCGTTCCCGTTTCTTATGGAAATACGAATTGGAACGTTAATCAGATTATCGGACAGCAACGATCGGGAGGCGTCATGATTCATGAGACGATGTGCTAGCACACTCGAAACAAGGACGAATCGATGTCTCTTACGTACCGATTAAGGGTGCACTCGTAGCACATCGATCCTAGTTTGCCGAATAACGTCAAACAGAGACGCTCACGTAGAAACAAGCATGCGATCGAATGATAGCATATCGCTGCCATTATTTGCTGTTAGATTAATATCCATCGATTCATCGATGGCATCGTGGCATCGTTTCAAAGGTAGCATGTTCGGCTAATTTGTCAAAAGTGCATACAATTTCCGCCCCGAAATCGCAAGCGTTCTCCCTTGGAAAAGACCAACGATACGCAGCATTGCAGCATAGTGAAATTACGGCCTCAGTAGTGGACGCGAGTCGAAGGTCAGGAAAACGAAACGACTGTCTCAGCTTGGCAAATGCAGCTTTGAATAAATTAATTAACCGGCGAGAATCCGGACAGAGAGGCGGGAAATGGAAAGACGAAAGGATATTAAGTCTTTGTCGGAGTCGTATATACCGGATTCCCGGAGTTTATTACACTGCTCCGGCTAGCTTAATCGATAGTTCCCGAAATACTAATCAACACGTGGAAATTTCCATAACTCTGTTCGGTTTAATTGCCTACGATTCCTTGTTGTTTTTTTTATGTTAATCAGGAAATGGCCAACGTTTCGCTGCATTTTATAGGCTTTTAACGGGGATACGATGGCCTTACTTTCTAGCGTGTGCGAGGTATTGACGTACGTACTCGATATGTGTGAGGCAGGGTCTTTAAACAGAAGTACTGAACTTTCGTCGAATAATGTAATCAACCTCCTGGAACAAACGGAAGCAGAGCAAAAGGGAGAAAAGCGATTATGTCTAGACAACGTGCCATTCTTGCAGCACAGTATATCATACATCTACAGTGAACCGGATAATGTGGCTATCCTTACAACGATCATCTCCAAATCTCTTTAAACCGTATTACATTGCTTATAGATTATGATAATTATCCGTTTGTTTTAATAGCGCTTTATATTGTACGTAAGGCCGAAGAATTTTCCTCGTGACAGCACTCGAGTACTGCGAGCTCTCGCTGAAGTAGTCTGGCTTACAGTGACACAATAGGAATGCTTCCGAATGGGTCTGCTAGTCACAACAGTTATAATGACGAAGAGATCTTATTAAAGTCCCATTTTACCGTCTTTTCGCTATGGTTCCCTAAAGTTGCTCGAGATCTTTGAAGTTCCCTATTTTACGTTGACATACATAAAACAAAACTGCAGTCAACTTTTCCACGATACTTGTTCGCTAGCTGATAACGCGGAAAGCGTTCACTGTGCTTGCATAAACGATGCCGTTTTGAGAAGACAAAGAGTACCAGGAGGTGAGACAGAAAGGATAACTCAGAACAAGGAATACGAAGTAGAAATGATCCAGATTTGGCTATCAGGAAATATTTAAGGGCTTCAGAAGGATTAGCATAGAAATTGTCCTCCCGAATATAAATTTCGCTCACTCACGTTGCAAGATTGATCTTCTTCGTCCCATCGGAAACGACAATTGATTCTCCCGTTGCACTGCAATTCAGCGGCGATGCATGTTGCATCCTCGCAATAAAACTCATTATCGAGGCAAGCTGCAACAAATTAACGAGAACATAACGTTGTTATATATTCTGATTAGATTTAAACTTCTCATAGAACAGTCGCGTTAAATGTAAAATTAGAAAGGTAATTGCTTGATTTTACTACTAACTCTTCCGCGATATTAAAGCAGCACGAACACGAGAGTGGCTTTGTTAAATAGGGAAAAGAAAAATGCGAAGGAAAATAGAATCAAATTTTTAAGTATCAATGTCGACGACTTGTTAATCTATTGTTCTTATAATCTCGCGTTTGTACTGCGAACGAAGAGCCGTACAAGAAAATTTTCATTTGAAATCTTATCGTACGAGAGATAGGGGAATAAGTGAATTTTGCTCGAGTCCGCGGGCAAGTCGCTCGTAAGATATTAGTTCTGCAAGGGTGGCAGGTGTAGAGAGGCTGAGATTCTTCTCGTGCCGAGATAGAACGGGAAATTTCGTACGTGTATCTGCACCGCAGCGGCTTACTCCATTTGCCATTCAGCCAAGTCTACCACCATTAATTTAGAAGTGGGATCCGTTCGCGAGCGATTATTCTCTGTGATATGAACTGGTTAAGACGATTATATATTTTCGATATATATATATATATATTATATATATATTATATATTATATATATATATATTATATATATATTATCGATATCGCTGTAATCGCCAGTTCTGGGTGTTCGATTGGGCCCGAAATCGAACCAGTTCATCGCTTAAAAAAAAGGAGGCTTCCGGCACGCGATCGTTTTCTTTTGACTGTGAAATATCGTATGAGTAATAGAAGCAAAGGCATTGTCTCCATGATTCCACTTTTTCCGTGTTGCGAACGAGGATATCCATCGTTCTATGGAATTTTAGCAATATTTTAGCGAAAATTTAATATTTTGTTCTCCGTAGCAAAATAATTATTCGAAGCATGCAGCAAGAGGAATACGTCTGATCAATTGGAAGGAGTAGGTCGATCGTAAGACACGCGTAGGATGGTCATCCTGGAGTTTTAGTTGGTAGGAGTCCGACACTACTCTGCTGTTACGCGATTACTGCAGCAGCGGAGTGTCCATGAGGTTTTCTCCACGTACAAAAAAAAGAAAAAAAAAAGACGAACGTAAGAAACGTTCCATCGTTCTTATCGACTTCGTCAGAATCAAATCGCGACTTCGGTCGAGTAAGATCGATATTCGCGTCTCCCAATTTGCTACTTTCTACTGTGCATTATCGATATTTCGTTTACTATTAACGATTCCTCTTCCGTAATCAGCGTGTTACGTAAACTATCGGTAACAAGTCACTTCGGTTAATGGAATGTCCGCATTGTTAATGTCTACCAATTTATGATCGTTGACAAACAGAGAAATTATAACCTTTCATTTTATAGATGATTAGTCGAGCAATCATCTAATTGCTCTTTCGTTTCTTCCCAGTATTTTTCATTGTTCGTATGTTCGTCATAAAACGCAGGCGAGGCGACGTTAATTCATAGATTTTCATTAGACCAGTATCTGTCCATTTCCGAGTACGAATGCATTCCCGGCGTTAAATTTAATGAAACTTAACACCGAATTGCTTGCGTGCCGTGAACAAAGATCTTCGCGATATTCGCACGGCATTCGTTATAATAGAAATTAAACTTCCTAGTTCTTGACGATCCGTGAGACACCAGTTACTAACGTGTGTTCTATTATCATACAACAAGTTGTTATAAAATGTAATTGGGTTATCTCCTTTCGTGTCTTAACAGATCGTTCGCGACATTTGATAAGTTTCTGTAATTTCCTGGTATTCGTGACACGCTATTTAATTAATAATCTTATCAAGCGAATAAATATTTATACACCTTATCGAAATAAACAGTTTTCATATGCTGTGCATAAAGCTTGAAAGCTTTACTCGTTGTCGTTCATTACATTTTAACGGAATGATAACTACGTTATACACATATAAACATGCCCAGCTACATGTTAATTAACATTATTGGCTAATATCCTGCCCCGTAATGTCATGATTTGTTTGTAAAGTAAAATTTTCGTTAGCTATTCGATACGAACATTTAATAAGAGCGCGATGGTATTTTGTCAGGTAGAATACGCAATTCCTCTAACGAATCTCAAACGGCAATTGTATTCGGTGAAGTAATATCGTGAATGATATTACGCGGAGATAAAAGCTGTCGCAGACAACGGTGAACAATTAATCGAGGATGTTTGTGAACTCACGTTTGTCTCCCGGATCTCTGTCTCTGAGCGCTGTCATGACGGCCTCGAAGCTGCTGTTCAGTGCTTTAGGCTCCGCGTAAAACCTGACAAAGGCGGTATTGGCCCCGATGAGGACGGTGTCGGCGATGCTGCCGCAGAAATTCTTCTCTCTGGAGGACATGTCAGTGCGTTCTTTGAATATGTCCACGAAGTTGGCGTCGCACTCGTTTGGTCGTTGCAGTTTGAAGGGATCCGAGAATACCAGCTGAATCTGAAAGTTGTACGTGTTCCTGTGATAAAGCTCAGTGAAGGGTCCTTTCCTTTTCCCTCTATCTCTGTTCTGATGACGAACGAGAAAACCCCAAAAATTTTCACCAATTACTCAGTATATCTTATGAGGCAAAGCGGGCATCGCAATTACCGGAATTTTCGTGCCAGACGTGATTTCGTTTGACCAAAAAGAATGGGCGTCCAAATAGTGATGAAACAGAGATCAAAGGTAGACTGATAGGAAAGGGACAAGTCATCAAATATTTTGGACGATTCAATTCAAAATATACGGTGCATCGCACGTTTGCCTTTTTGTTGTTGCGTACTTTTTTTCTCTTTTTAATGAACTAGTTTAAAGGATTATCGAGGCATTATCGATAGAGGGAAATTCGTGAAATATTAGCGAAATGGTGTTGACGTAAATTGACGAAATTGATGAAATTACCTTCCATCCTTCATTGACGGTGATGTTCCACATGCAATCCAAGGGGATGCCTTCCTTCTCAGCGACAATCTTCTTGTCCTGCACGTCATCGCTGCTAATAATTGCCTGCACGCCGTTCACGTATTTGACACACGGCTCCGGTTCTGGTGGCACTCCCGCTGTGAATCACACCTATTACAGTATTACGCTTTCCCCAGGCTCGTCGTCAGGTGTTTATTTGCCTTGACTAATTCGCGTGTACGTTTCATTTCTCGCGTATAATGCAACTCGCTCATTTACGAGCGCGAGCTTCGATGCCAATGTCGAGAGCCAATAGAAAACGTATTCACCACGAGCCAAACAGCGTTCGTGGGTCAGAAAGGGACAGAAAAGAAAGAAGAGCGGGAAACGTGGACCGTGGAAAACAACAAAAAATCTCCAACCATTGTTCGAGAAATAATTGATTTCCCGCGCCGAATTGGCATTATAAAATTCGCGGCCGGAGGAACACAATGAACAAGAGGAAATGAATCAAACGCGCGAAAAGATTCATCCCTCCCCTCGGCTTCTGATTAATTTCCTTTCCCGTCGATGTTTGAATTTGACGTTATCATCGTAGCAGAGTTTTAATGTTTGTCCCTCATTAAGACTGATTCGCGGCGGCTTCGAAAGCCATGCGTTCTGGAGCGTATTAAGAGCAACCAAATACTCAAACGGCATTCATCGCTCCGGATCAGGGCAAATGCGCGGAAATAATGAGCTGTATGAGACGCGGATGAATATCGGAGCCGTATTTCTGGTAATCTGGCCTACTCGAGCAGAGCAAAACTGGAAGCTTTTGCGAGGGAGACTGCAATGCGTATAAGTACTTACGAAGTATTGAATTAACATTGCCGTAAAACTGATTTGTAAAACTACGTGAAAATGCAAAATTGCAGCAGATGTATCGCTTTGTATGAACAATTTATTCTGAAATTTTCAACATGAAACTCGGCTCCAACTGTAACATTTTATGGATTACTGGAGCAGTACTCAAATATTGACAGTGTTTCGGTACAGTAACAGAAATTACGTTGAAATTATTTTCAGTCAGCTTCGAGCACTAGTTTTTCGGACGTAGAATTTATTACTAGTCAAGATAAAAAAAATTTTGCACAGAGGTCGTAGTTGGAGCGGGAAATCCGGTGGATTGGAAGCTTCCCAACGTTCGCCGATGTCGTCGAGGCTAATGTCCGACCGAGTATTCTAATCTGAGAACCGCCGGTCATCACTCGCGTTTGTTTTCAATGAATGGGCAACAATTTTTATCCTGACATACAGATATTTCGCTAGTTTCTCTCTTTCTGTATACGCGCGCGCTCCAACTTTAATAAAATTTATCAACGGGAAGCAACTAATCGATATTTTCCTGATGCAAAATATTACTATACACAGACCATGACTTATCGGCACGTGATGTACGCGTACCATGTTTGCAGAAGCTACGAAATAATTTGCAACCTGGAATTCCGTATCTCGCGAATAATCTCAACGGATTCTTGATTGGAATAGGTTCGTTTCTAATAAGAAAATCTTACTGTGACAACGTGACAGACTGGTAGATGGATCGAAATACTGTGGACTTACGATAGGTTGGTCTTGGTATCATACTCCAAACGGCCTTGAAGCCCTTGTCCTCGATGCTATCGTCACTGTGGAATCGCAGCCAGAGATATCTCGTCTTCGACGTGATCTCTGGGGGGAAATTCTTGCCACAGAAGTTACCGAGGAGATTGGAGTAGCCGTGCTGGCCGTCACGTACCTCGAGAAAATCGTAACGACAGTCTGCACTCCCCTCGAGTTTGAATTCGTCTCGAAAGTCGAGCTTCAACAGCATGCCTTCCTTAGCTGAAACGAGAGAAGGGTAACGTTCTCGTTAGAAACCGTGAAAACAGCGAATATAGAGACGTTTCTCCGAATTCAGTGATTTTTGTAATCATGAAAGAAACTGTTTATCGAAGAATGCGAAAGTAAGCTGTTTTATTTTTCTTGCACGGATTTAATTAACGTCACAAACCGGGTAAAGAGAAGAAGAGAATTAATCTAACAAGATACAGATATAAAAGTACAGGCAGAAAAGTGAGTACAGTGTATTCTGAGAGTAGTTTGATCTCATAGTCACTCGTCTGTATTTATCGATTGATCCAGAGAAAAGATCAATTAATATTCGCATAGCTGCATATTCTGATGATTTATTTATTCGGTATATTATTCCGATAAAACCAATAAATGTAAAATCGTTGTTAAATAATTCAACATGGGAAGCAGGAGTGTTGTGTGAAGGACGTGTTCGTGTATTAAAATTAATTAATCGAACGAGCGACAGACAGTCTATTAACAATAAGTTATTTATAATTTTGGAAAAAAATAAAACGTCAACTAATCTTCTTTCTCACTCAAGTGTTGGAATGTTGAGTGTTCTGTGGAGTGAATGGGACAGTTTAGCGAACGCGAACTGCGACCAGAAAGTCGCAGAGTTTTCAGTTTTAAAGGGTTTCTGAAGTGCTCGCAGAATCTGAAGATAAAACCATGTCATCTGTTCGCAGAATTATGTATGATAACCTATTTTGTTAATAATATTTCGGGATAATATTTTTAATTTGCTATTTACGGAAAACCGTCATCTAAATACGAAGCGATGTCACACACGCATTGTTTGGATTGTTATGCATGAGTTTGGCCGTTCGGTCGGCTTACACGAAGGAATGTTCTAACGTCGAAAGTCGACCTGGCAACCGGCCAGGTTATTCTTCGTATTCGTCGCGCAACTTTTTTGACTCGTCTTATACCGTAAAGTACCCGGTTTAACTTACAACGCGGTACTTTCTACGTACTTTTTATCTACTGGCAAAAAGCAACTCATTTATCGCGACATAAATTCTTGGAAAGAATTGATCGTTAAAAGAAGCAGCCCATAAGATTCCGCCGACGAAGCTTTTCGTTTTCAAGAAGAAGGTTAGGAACTTCTGCTTCGTCGGATATGTTCTTTAATACCTGACAAGTTATCTGGCGAGCGTTAGAGTCGCGAACCTATCGTTCTCACGTTTTCCACGCAATAAATCGAAATCGATGTTCTTTTATGCGCGACAGAATCTCGGGCGTATGGTGACATCGTGAACGCGCGATTTGCAAAATCAGCCTGTCCGATCGCTTTCTTAGCATCGAACTGTGCTATTCGTATATAAATCCCAGTCGATCGCTGATGCGATCTGTAATGAAGTCGTTGGCATGCAAACGCGACTTTACTTTCCCCGCACGTACCAAGATTATCCAAGAATTATTTACCGCGAATCGATCGTTAGAATTCACTTGATCTTTCTAGCAACGCAACGAGGGGAATTCAGCGGTATTTGGCTGTAGGTTGTGTGCGTATAGTTCTCACGTTTCGTTTCACTTGCTGAATCGTAGAGAGATTGCTGCCGCTCTGTCGAACAATTAACGCGTTTCCAACTCTCTGGTTCCTCTTAGGTATAATTATTTCAAGCTAGCAAAGATTCCTTCGTCAAAATGAGATACGCACGAACGCGGATATATGGAACGTGGATATATGAAATTCCAAATGGTTCGACGAACGCTTTGTACCATATAACACAGCGGAGATCGGACAAGCGATGAACCAAAAGTCCATCGTGTGTAGGGAAAGGATAGTACTTGCGCGTTGTTTACGGTTCGCTCATAAATACTTGGTATTTGTGAATAAAATATCTCGTCCGTATCGCCATTTGTGCGCCGCGTAAAAATTTATACCCTTCCGATCGCGATATGAAGGAAATTATTGACTGAAAATCGTGGTATAAAAGCCGCGTATTTGTTTCTGAGCGATCGCTAAACGCCACTCGAAGAAATAGATCGTCTATTTTCGTGGCAATTAAAAGTACGCAAACGGCTTCCGTGAATAACGTACTCTGGGGATGTACGCGATAAATCGTATTGATGATCCGGATAAGGTACGATTTCGAAACGAGTATTATTAGTGGCTTTCTCGCTATACAACCGCATAGGAATGTCACGCTCACGACGAAGCTGTTATTTTCATTCGTGTATTTATGTTACGCTGTGAATGAAATTCTGGCTATCATCTGCGGCCAGCCCACGCGAACGGCGAACTCGTTTTCGTCCGAAGGACGAACGACTATTTTCTATATGAGACTTACCAACAGCAGGAAATTCATCGCGACACGACACATCTACCGTAAAAATCGCAGTTGACGATTGATTCCGAATCTACGACTGAGTGGAGAACGGTATCGTACGTGGCACTAAAATGTCCCGACTTCGCCATCGAACAACGACCGTTCTTGGCTCTTTTTTGAATGGCGCTTCGAGCCCTCCATTGACGGAGCCGCGTTTCTTCGATGCGAAGAAAGAAGGAAACGATAAAAAGCGGGACAGAAAAGAAGGAAGGAATAAAGGTCTGCGTGGCGACTATTTTCTCGGAGGGGGAGGAAACTCTAAAGCGGTGGCAATCTCGCCCCAACTACTGTCCGCTTTCGCACGGAAATACCAGTATTCCAGTCGCGGTGCGATCGATCGAGTTTTTCAACAGATTCAAAGAGTCTTCTTCTCCTATTTTCACGCTTCATTATCTTTTGATTGTGTCACCTTCCGCCTGCTGCTTGTAATCATTGTGGAAATTAAGGGCCATTCTCAAAGGGTTTCGCAATTCTCCGCTATTGTACGACGTTCACGACTTATTTATCAACCCGCCTCTCGCGTTTCCTCTCCTCCAATTTCTTAGTCTTTTCAGAAGTAAGCGTCACGGCGTTATGTACATAGTTACACTTGTAACGGTGTCACTGCGCATCGCAGTTCTGGATGCCACGAATTTCTATCGACCCAGTCTACCTAATCGCTGAGCGGCAAACGTGCTGCGAAACCACGAATCTAGTAATTTCGAGCGAGAGGGTGCGATATCTGTCCCAAGTTTAAGCTTTCGCCGTCGTCGATATCTAACACCAACTTTCACGACGTCTCAGCCACCGTGAACATCGTTTACGTATGGAGTAAATGGCTTCCGTCATCGCAGAACTTACCTGAGCCGTGAAATCCAAGGTACACGCAAATATTCGACCATTCGCGATATTAGTGTATATCGTGGTTCTAGCCTGACATTCTACGAACTCGTCTGTCTTGGAATCCACTGCCATTTTCCTCTGACTATCAGGTTCCATACCTCTCGTCTTCCGTAACTACTAGCGTTCCCTTCCCAATAAACCAGTCGAATTTTCACCGGCGTTTCGTATTTTTCGTAGCTAGCGCACGAAGAAACCCCGCGAGTCACGAAGTCTGTACAAATTTTCGCACATTTTCCACCAGTATTCCCGGGAACTTAGAACGAAAGCTCGAGGATGATTTCTACGAGAACGTGATTAGAGTTTCATTCTGCGGCACGATCGTAGAAATATATCCGTAACTAATGGGCGTGGATTTTATCCATGGTGTCAGATATCGAGAGGTATCGAGAAGGGTAAGAAGAAAGCCTTTCTTAGGTGTCTACCGCGAAAAAATATTGCAATCGTACGTGCTTAGCTTTCGTATATCTAAAATTTATTATTGATCTTTCGAGTAATTTCGGACGAATAATTTTAAAAGATATCGCTCTATTTAATGTGAATTATAACGTAGAATATATTAAGAGCCGAAAACGTATAATTACCTCCATTTGGAAATGTAAAAGTTTTCACAGAAAGATTAAAAAATTACTCGTCAAACAGATTTTTCTAGGGTAGAGTATAAATTTTATTCTGGTAATTTTAGCGAAAATTGTTCAAAAGTTTCTATAAAAAGAAGTGTAATGGACTTTTGAAGGTCTCAAGCCAATAGCCTGAATTCGTGGTCGCAATAATGATCAGCATCTCCACGGGTAGTTCATCGAATTTTCCATAGAGATTGGCAAGATAAGGAAGAGCGTTGCACGGTTCCTGAGAGTTGAATGACCTAGTCGGTCTGTTCCCGAAGCCCCGGTAAAATGGTGTAGTTTCCCTCCTTGTTCAAATCGGATATTTATTTCTTGCAACTGCACCGCCGATTAATATTTGCAAACTTTTCCCATGGTAAAACCATAGACAGAAATATATTCTGGCGCGTGCAGGTATTTATGAAACGAAAGCAAACAAGACATTTTTAATTCGAAACATTGATATAAAGTATAACTGTTTTTTTTTCTTTTGCGAAAACAAAAGTAAAATGTGGAAATCCGATTTTATATACGCGTTGGATTTTGAACGTTACGTTTTCTGTTTCAGATTTCGTGATTTCGTGAAAATTTTTTGTTCAAATTTCCAACTTTATGCTAAATCGAATAAGTACCGCGCGTACTGTAGCATCATTTCCAAAGTAAATAAATAAATATGAAATATATATGCACAATATATACATATATAAATAAATATAAGTAAAATAACATAAAATTAATCTATATCTAAAAACAGAGTTCTCTTTATGCTTGAAGCCGGGACGATGTAAAAGCTTCTTTATTCGAGAGAAATGATGAATTTATAACGCGAAAGTAACGTCAATTCAATTCTTTGCTGGATAATATTTTTTCAATTTTCAACTTGATTATTTCTTTGACGACCTATCGCACCTATTTCCACGCGAATAGAAATAGTTTGTATTCTTGAAGCGATGGAATTATATCGCCGGCCAGTGCAAACGACGTTTCACCGAATATTGAGCTAACAACCTAATGACAGATGTAAATAAATTTGCACTCGGTATTTCGCTTTCATTGCGCGGCAAACGAGCAAACTTTATTGCGATTTTATTTCACTTTTCCTTCGAATGGAATGGAATAAGAAGGGGAGAACGAGGTCTCCATGGAATCCAGTCCCGAGTTTACTTTCTGT